GTAGCTGCAACCTTAACGTAGTGGTCGGGCTTGCCTATTGTGATAACCCAACTGAGCTATATTGGCTGGAACATATGTTCCTGAAGGTTCTACCATGCCAGGCAGGTCGATCAGAGAACGATGAGACTAAAAACAGCTACTCAAGGTCTGAGGGCGAAGTCGTAATGCTGACTGCAGAGGGGTGTGACAGCAGTAAGGTGTTTCCCTCGGACAACCAGCATCTGCAGCGATGCTGCCTTCTCACAAGGAAGGAAGGGTTAGAAAAGGTCGGCCCTAAAAATGTCACACCTCCCCTACCTCACGGATTTCCGTCTCCTTGGGTAAGGGTGCCCACTAAGGGCCTTTAAGAACGGAGCTAATACTCAAAAAACCTTTCATAAAAAGGCCGTGCGTGACCGGCCTCGAGCAGTTGTCCCTTGGGCTCTGCGGTCACGCACCAACACTAATCTATCTTCCTTTTCAGGTTCCTCAAGAAACAACCTTCCACGGTGTGGGCAGCCGGGAAGTGACAACCGCCCTCATACCCATAACAGCACGCGAGACCAAATTGGTCAAAATCAAATCCTTCCCACACCCCCTAGAACCTCTCTTATCTCTATGACTAACTCTTCTCACATTCATTCATCACAGTGCACAGCTAATGCAGACGATACGAGTTCGCAAAACGTCGTTCCTGGTCTCCTTAAACCTCGCTCTAGACTACATGTTGGAGCATTTAATGTACGGACATTGTGTCAAATAGGGCAACAGGCATCATTAGCTAGGACTTTAGAATCTCGTGCCATCGATGTATGCTGCGTCTCGGAAACGCGCATACAGGATCCGAGTCACGTCATACACTTGACCACACCATGTCAAAATAAAGAAGCAGCTCGATTTACTCTTCGTGTATCCGGTAGCCCTGATGCTGCTTCCCGGGGTCTTGCTGGCGTAGGCATAGCATTGAGTCGTAGGGCAGAACAATCTCTCCTTGACTGGATCCCAATAGATAGTCGATTGTGCGCTGTCCGACTAAACGGGACAGTAAGGACTCGGAAAGATAGGGACAATCGCCGTTGCCTCTTCATCGTATCTGCCTATGCCCCCACTGAATGCAGTTCAGACGAGGTTAAGGATGAGTTTTACAGAAGGCTTTCGGACCTCCTCCAAAAAGCTAGGCGCTCTGATATAGTAATAATGGCTGGTGACTTTAATGCTCAAGTAGGTAGACTAAGTGAGCAGGAGAGACACCTAGGTGGATGTTATGGTGTCGCGGCTCAGAGAACAGACAGTGGTGACCGTCTGTTGCAAGCATGCTCAGACAACCGCCTATTCTTAGCAAACACTAACTTTAGGCATAAGGAAAAGCATCTGTTGACCTGGCGACCTCCAAAGTCGTCTCAACGTTGGACTCAACTAGATCACATCGCCATCAGCCACCGATGGAGGGGTTTGATAGAGGACTGTCGCTCGTTCTGGAGCACATGTCTAGATTCAGATCATGCCCTAGTGCGAGCGCGTATTCGTTTGAAGCTTACTGGGCGTAGGAAAGACACCGTAAGAAAGCCTCTTAGGGTTTTACTTAATGATAATAAGGCGAAAAATATATTTCAGGAACAACTAGAAAGAGAGTTAAGCAACCATGCAAGCGATTCCCATCCAGAAGCAGGTTGGTATGATATCAAAAAGGCTTTGGAAACAGCAGTGATATCTGCTAGGAAGGTAAACCACAATGCTAGGATGAAGCAGTGGATTTCAGTCGCATCCACCGATCTGATGGATGCCCGAAAACTCATCCCACCTGGCTCTGAACATGATGAAGAACGAAGTCAACTTAGGCGCAGACTTATAAAAAGCCTACGTAACGATCGCGAACAGTGGTGGGTGGCGAAAGCAAAAGCGATGGAAAAGGCAGTGGCGATAGGCAACAGTAGACAACTTTTCCGACTTATCAAGGAAACTGGTATTAGGAATCCTAGTGTAAGTGAGACTATCTCAGAAAATGACGGGACTATTATTTATTCTCAATCCAGGAGACTGGATCGATGGGCAGAACACTTTAGGGATCAGTTCAACTGGCCTCGCGCCACTCTTCGGTTACCCACGATCTCCAGTCATCCTGAATGGCAAATCGACCTAAGTCCCCCTAGTCTTAATGAAGTTGAAAAAGCGTTAGGAAATCTGAAACGAGGACGAGCTGCAGGTCCTGATAGACTGACCCCTGAGATATTTAAGGATGGTGGTCCAGTTTTAGCAGCTAGGTTGACTGAGATCTTAGGTTAAATCTGGGAACTGGACTTTATACCATCCGACTGGTCTCAATCCCAGATTGTCCGAATCAAAAAGGAAAGACGAAAGTCTTATCGTGACAATCACAGATGAATCTGTCTAACAAGTATAGTATCTAAAATACTGGCCTCAATAATACTTCGACGCTTAACGAAAGCTCGTGAAGAGCAAACTCGAGAAAACCAGTCTGGTTTTCGACCTGGACGTGGCTGTGTAGACCACGTCTTCACACTCAGACAGGTCCTGGAACACAGACACACATTTAGGCGTCCTACAATAGTTGTTTTCCTAGACCTAGAGACGGCATTTGACTCGGTAGATCGTGAGGTTCTGTGGCAGTGTCTGTCATTGAAAGGTGTACCAAAGAAGCACATTAACCTCATACAAGCTCTCTACTCAAACACCACTGGTCGAGTGAGAGCTTATGGCGAACTGTCACCGGAATTCTCTACATCAAGTGGTGTCCGTCAGGGATGTCCACTTTCTCCATTCATGTTGAAGTTTATCAGAGACATGCTCCTAGAAATAACCCTATCCTCATCTGAATTTTCTGGAGTAGACCTTTTACCAGGTGGCTCGCTTATTGACTTAGAATAATCCGTTCGCTGACTAAAGGACGAATGTACTGTGCATTGGTTCGCTCCGTCTTACTTTATGGCTGTGAAACATGGCCAATGAGAGTAGAAGATACTCGTCGGTTATTGGTTTTCGATCATAGGTGTCTTCGAAGCATTGCTCGTATATCGTGGGACATCCGAGTGAGCAACGCTGTTATTAGGAAACGGGTACTAGGTAAGAATGGCAGATCAATCGATGAAGTGATGAAACTACATCAGTTGAGGTGGTTGGGACATGTATTACGTATGCCGAACCACCGACTGCCTCGACGAACTTTGTTTTGTAGTGTAGGAGTAGGTTGGAAGAAAGTTAGGGGCGGCCAAACCAAAACATGGCAGAAATCCATGAAGTCATTGACAAGTGGACTGAGTCATGTCGGTAATTGTCGACTACCTGGTTGGGGTCCGCGAGATGATAATAATCGATGGTTAGAGACCTTGAATGACATGGCTCAAAATCGTTCGCAATGGCGCCGGTGCATTTATTCTCTGCGTTCTCTCAAATCCTAATCTTCTGGGTTCTTCAACACCTCTAGTTTTTACTTTCTAAACTTATCTCATTGAATCATACTTCGTGAATAATATCTTCTAATTCTAACCCCTCCGATTACTTCTAATACCTTTACTACCTCTTCTACTATTGGATTTGAATTGACAATTATATCTCTGTGCTGATGTGGTATGGCGACATGAACTGATGTACTTACGTACGAAGTTCTACGTTGCAACTGACTGACTGACTGACTGGACCGTTCCCTATTGATATAGCAGAATATGTAAAGGATACTCAGATTTTGGGACTGTCATGAATGCAGTGAGAAGTTGCAATGTGTTCAGTGCAAGTGTAGGTTTCCTGAGTTTTAGACAAGGAAAATAGAAAAATCATTACATCCTGAAGGTTTTTTTATGCTTTAATGATAAGAGTAATAATTTCTTCCAACATTTAGATCTGCTGTATTAAACGATCTTCACTCTGTGCATTTGGGTAGCAGGGAAAATGAAATTGCTCACATGTCAAGCTTGTTGATGGTCTGAGATTGATGCTGATAATAGCCGAAAATATACAACACAAATGGTGAGAACTTACCACCCGGATAGCCTGAACCAAGACCAGTGCCTTCAGGTACGCTGCCACGTTCTTCTTTAGGCCACATTTGAAGAATTCGATCACGAGTAACCTGCATTCATTGAAACATTATGTAAACTATGAATAAATGTATATTTCTAAGTTATAACTATTCAAAAAATGTTGAGATAACAACTGTCAGTTTAATTCTAACCAATCAACTTGATGATCTGAATGATGATAGATAGCAATCAGATCTATATTATCTGAATATTAAGATGCAATCACATTTAAACATGGGGCAACACTACAAAAAATAATAAGGTATACATCAGTGTCAAACACTTTTAGCCACGTTGTTTAAATATAGTTTAATTATTCTGAAGTGGGATTAACTGTTGCTCACTTGGTTCATTCAAGAATTAATAAGATGAAGTAAGCAAAACAACTTGACTTAATTTTATCACTGAGTGAACTATTTATATACGAGTTATTATCACAACAACAGTTTTTAGAGAATGAGTTGAAATGAAGTCCGTTTACACAAAGACACACACAAAACAATGAGGATTTTGATGATGCTATTTTTGAAAGAAATTAACAAACTTACTTTTGCGAAAATACTAGCAGCACTCACAATCGGATAAGTATCATCAGCTTTGCTTTCAACACGTATCTTTAACTGGGGGAAAATATTTTGCAGTTTAGCTTCATAATGTTCAGCTTTGCCAACGGTATCAACGTAAACCTGATTTGATTGAAATACATATACATAGGAACAATAAAAAAAGAATAGAATAATCAGGGGAAAACATGATTCTATATCAATAACCGCCTCTGTAAACATTTGAAGAAGTCAATTATTAGATGTTTAGCAATCTTTTTAAGACTAAGTTGATCATTAAATCAAGAGAGTTAAATCTTTTGTCTACTAGTGAACAATACAACAGTTTGATAGCAAATGCACAACGTCATTTGAAGGACTGCTAAAAACTCTGGATCACTGGACGCCTTTTCTCCGGTTGTGAAAGCGTTTAGCACGGCACATCCTCAGTACTATCAGGGATTAAACCAAATATTTTTGAGTCTTACCGAGCGTATCATAGTGTCCAGAAAGCGAGTTTCTTATTATCCAACTCTGGTCATACAGTAATACGGCTTAATCCTCATTCAATCCTATCCGAACTTCAGCTTTACGTTCATAGAATGTCATCGAAATTATTTACCAATAAGGTCGAGTATCGTCACTTACCTTATTAGTTCTAACGAGTTTGATTGGTTGCATCCAATTAGTCCTGTTATTTTACACATTTGAAATCTTCAATCAATCATTGTTAGACCACTATTAGAAACCTGGAAGCACTTGACGGCCGTTTCGTCCTGGTATGGGACTCATTAGCAGTGCGGACCTTCGGTATTGTGCACGAACGCCTAACCATCGGACTGCTGGGTT